GGGGAACTGGGGGCGCCCGGTGAGCGCCGCCGCCGCTTACCGGGCCCGTGTCCCTTCAGCGGGAGGTAGCAGGAGCCCGGGGCGGGGCGTGAGGGGCGCGGAGCCGCTTCTCTGTAAGTTCTGCTCAGTTTAGCGCCTGGCCGCGCTCCGCCCTGGAGCCGGTACCGAGGTCGGGCTGCCCGGGGGAGAAGCCGCAGCCCGTGAGCTCGCAGGCTGGCGCCAGTCACGGGCTGTGAGTGAGCTGTGCTTGGGGCTCCTGCCTCGGCCTCCCACCCTTCAGGCTCTTCCTCCACAGTTCCCTTCTCTCCCCCAGTTTTCCTGGGCTTTCCTCCTACAAGTATGCGGCGTTCTGGCTGTGTGGGACAAGTACGGAATTTAGCCTTGCACGGATTACAAAGGAAACGGACCTGAGGTAATTGAAATGAAGTGATTACCGTGGAAGGAGGGCTTGTGTACTTATGCATAAAATAACTTGTTAAAAGTGGTGACAGATTAGAAAGGACAGGAATGCAATGGATTAGATGAGTTGGGAAGAACAAGGCGGTCGTGCTAGTATGAACAAAGACTGGGAAGTGAGAGGAGAGCGTGCAGATTCACGGGGGATGTGTGATGTGGCTGCAAGGAGGTCTCTGCAGAGTCATCCGTGGTGAACAGGATGGGGGATGTTCTAGTTTCTCACTCCTGAGATGGAAAAATCCAATCAAAAAACTCGGTGGAGAAGGAAATGGCAAGGTATGGATGGTGTGTCTGTGAAGAAGTGATTGCGGATGATCCACGGATTGCAGGTTTGAGTGACATGGATACAATTAACATCGATAGCGAGTGGGGAGTTGGGGTTGTAGATGGTTGCAGAGAAAAGAGGGTGTCAGCCCATTTGAAGCTTCTGTGGGTAACTAGTTCAGGAGGCAGACTTGAGTTAGACTTTCTTTACTTCAGAATTATCAATGAAGAGGTGAGAAGAAAAAGCCATCTCAAATGGCTGTGAGATATCAACAGTAAAAGTAGGAGTATCCTACAAAGTATTTACTAGAGGAATCCTGCAGAGGTGGGTAAGAGGGCAAGAAATTAAAAAATCCTGTAGGAGGACCAGGTATGAGGGATAATATCATGTACTGTGTCTAACGGTGGTGAGGTCAGAGAGACACTGGTGGTGGCATATTTGAAGGCGTTTTGTTTCAAGAGACCTTGTTAAGAAGAATTGTGTTGCAAAGCAGGAGTCAGCAAGAGGGCATCTCCGTTGGAGCTGATATGCGGCAGAGCGTAGGAGTGGGTGTGTTTATGAGTGCTGCGAGGAGGCTGGAGGAAGAGAGGGGATTGAATTGTATCAGTGTTAGTGAAGATGAGGGAGTATCTTGGATGAAAGTGGTAAAGAATCCTCCCTTAGGTAGGAAAGCAATCTAAATATGGTTTTGGACTTTATAATCTGATTTTGGGGATTATGGTAATTATTTAATCAAAATGCTCTGCTTTTTTTGACCTTCTTTTTTTGAGCTTAACATCTTTATTGTCTTAAAAGCTAGTGCTATCAAGTATTAGCTGTGTTCTGTCTTAGTTTGTATTCAGAGAGCTTGTGATTCAGTTGTGAACGAGGGCATTGGGCCGAGCGTGAGGCGAGTTCCTTATTTTTCTAGTGCCCTGCTTTGCTGTGTCCACAGAGCTTGTGCCTCAGCCTTCCTCTCTCTCCATGCATGTCTGCAGGACGGTCAGTTATGCTGGAAGTGAGCTCTTTCCTAGAATGTTGTGATAGGAGTCACAGAAGTCGTCCAGTCTGCAGACTGTCTTCTGCTTGATATATCCCGTTTGCCCATGCAGACAGTTCCTCTGTTTGCTCCAATAAGTGTGTTAGTGGCACAGAGAAACAGCTCTGCACTCTCCTGAGCCTCCTCCCCAGAGACTGGTTTGTAAATGCTGAGGTACCACGTAGGCCCATTGTTCTACTTAGGTATCTAAAAGCATCTCATTCCTTGGGTGGGACTCACTATGTGTTGAGATAGCAAATGTACCCAGAGTTTGGGGGATTTTTTTTTTTCTGTCTCTAGAGTGTGGGATGATCAGAGGGAGTTTGAGAAGTTCCCTGACTGGTGAAAAGTTCAGGCTTTGTGATGCTCTGAGGTTGGCTGAATGAAGCTGTTGCACGCTGGGCTATTGATATCTCCGTAGGCATGTTCACAGTGGGTTTAGATTCTCAAATAAGTTATCCCTTTAACATAAGGTTTAAGATCCATTACTACTTCTATGCAAGAGGTCAGCGTTCATACAGATGAAGCCCAAAATGGAATCATTAACTCTAAGCAGGGTGGAGGGAGGGACAATATGTATAGGTTTGCCTTGTGTCTGTCAAATCAGCTTTCATATCTGCCTCCTTCCAACATGGAGAGGACGGTACCTCTGCTCCTCTGAAGTTCTGTGGGAAGCAGTGCTATGAAATGTTGGTATGTTGTGAATAGCTAAGGAATTGAGAGACAAATGAAAGGAATGGAGAATTCAGGGGATAATGTAATTAGCTGCTACCCTTCATCCTCTCTCACTGAAGCTTTGTATCTGCTGAAATCACTGCAGCCCCTCAAATTAATTGTACATCACATCTCTTCCTGGTTATTGTGTTCTGCCTGCTCAGGTTACTGGAAACAGAAGACAAACGAGTTGAAAAATAATGAAAATTTATGGTTAAGATTTCCTGTGTTCTAAAGTCAGGATTCTCAAAACTTGATTATGGTTTTCCCAGCAGCTACAAATTGTGGGAATATATTTGAGTAACAGAGCTTATATGCGTTTGCATTACTATGCTGCTAGAAACCCAATATATGCTGCTTGTGGAAAATATAGCTTTGATTTTATATATACATATTTATACGTAAAATCTGTTTGCAACATTGATTTAAGTCTTTGGTATTTAATATATTCTCTCTTGAAAGGAAATTATTTGGTTAAATGGAAATTTGTGACTAAATATGAGATGACCATAATTCAAGGTTAATACGTGCTCTACTGCTGAACCTCTCAGAACTTGAATTCATGCAGTTTAGTTACACAAGCAGAAGGTTTCTAGTTCAGATAAGTGAAGTCAAATATGTGAATTTTCCAATACCAGTGAGTATATAGAAAAAAAAAGTTGGCTGTTCTGATTCTTCTTGAATAGCAGCTGCCAACACTTGAGCATAAATTTCTGCGTTCAGAAGGTAGTAAGTGAATATTGAGAAAGTAATGAGAGAATTCATTTTATTTCCCCCTCAGATGTAAGGCCTAAGCCACATCACATGCAGTAGAACCTTCTTAAAGGGATTAACTAATTTCACTGTCTCTTGAGATGGTATTGAAGAGTGTTAGGTTGAGTGGATGCAAGAGGTCTGTTTGCTTGTCTTATTTTTGAAAGTCCCGCTTAATGTCTAGTTCTAAAGCAGTATGGACAGGTTGCCTTTCTGGCTACTGTGGTCACAGTTAAGGGGTTTGTATTTTTTTCCTATTTTGATGAAAGGGATGTGATGCTTTTCTGCAGTACTTCAGACTGTTGGTAAAAAATGTCGTAAACTTAGTTATGTCTCTGAAAAGATCTGTAGTGAAATTCATAAAGCCACTTTCCACATGTCAGAAGTCTCGGGGCTCACACTGGGGGGGATAGGATGCAATGTAATAAGCCAGTCTCTGAGGGTTTAGGCCTCGCCTGTAAGAACAGCCTTGGCTTTGCAGGTTCAAGAGTTGCAGTGGATCCAAACCAGGGACCTGCACAGCAGAATCTTCTTCAGCTGGGCTGTTGGGTCAGTCCATTCGTGGCTGCTTGATCACCTGTATGATGTTGACGTGGCCTCTCTTACAATTTCTTAGGCAACAGAAAAAATTGTTTTTCCCCCTTTAGGAGACAGAGCTCAGATGAAATCAAAAGAACGATAAAGTTTGGAGGAGAAAAAGAAGCTGCAATTGCTTTCCTGGTCTGCAGTTTGACAGGGCATTAAGATGTCCGTGGACATGAACAGCCAGGGCTCTGACAGCAATGAAGAGGATTATGACCCTAATTGCGAGGAGGAGGAAGAGGATGAGGATCCTGGGGATATTGAGGATTATTATGATGGGGTAGCTAACGACGTGGAGCAGCAGGGAGCAGATGCCTTTGATCCAGAGGAATATCAGTTCACCTGCCTGACTTACAAGGAGTCGGAGAGCACTCTGAATGAACACATGGCCAGCTTGGCTGCCACGTTAAAGGTGAGGAAAGGTTTCTGCATTAACACAGGTGTAAAATAAGTCTGTGATTAAAAAGGCAAATGCTGAGCATACAGTTTGAAATAAGCTGTGGCAATGTTGCTGTTATGGGAGTTGGAGGAAATTATTGAAGGTCCCTGATTCAAAACTGACTCAAAGCTTTACAGTTGTTACATACTGGTTCTGGGGCCTGAAAATTTTTCCTTACTGAATGCTGATTCTTACAGTATTTTTTTTACAGAGCTGGGCTTCATGATCCAAATTCCCAAGTTATAACTCTTTGCATTAACACAATGCATAGGGGATATATAGAAAAGAAACAAAACAAATCCTAAATGGTGCAGATTGGTACACCTGTGTTTGAGAAGATAACTGACAGATAGGAAGACATGCGAAAACTCTGTAATTCTAACAAAAACACCTTTCTTTGTTGGTTCTGAGAGAATAATCATAGACTTTCAAAGACAGATCAGCTGTCATGCCAGGTATTAACCCTACTGTTGCAGTGACAGCAATTAAAGTACAATGAACTTGACAGCTCTTGTAGTGACTAATTCATCATAGAAGAGTCACACTCTGAGTCAGCTCCATGGTATTATGCTCAGTAAGACTTTTGTGAAGTTTTCCTTTTCTTTTTCTTTGTGTGACTGATAACTGTAGTACAGACTAGTAATAAGATGAGGTCCCCCCTCTGCCTTGTCTGTGTACTTGGTTCCCTGTGCAGGTCTCAGAGGAAAGAGCTCTGGTTGTTGACACTGGGTTGAAATTACCCATGCATCTACTTTGTAACAGATCTCCTAGTGCTTCTTCATCTCTGGAACAAGCCCTGAAAACAGGACAAGTGACCACAGCATATTAAAAAACATGTTGGATAGGTTTTGATTCCTATTTGGTCTGAATCAAACCTAATTTGGGAAAAAAAAAAAAAAAAGGGATCTCTTGATCCTTATTTGCACGTCAGTGTCCTGTAAGAACAGTATATAACCATAAATTCTGAGGACTATGAAGCCTGTAAACAACAGGCTCTAAAGTGCACCCATACTTTTTGCTGCATCTCTAGCTGATTTTGCAGTCTGTTGTGCTGATTCCCAGCGTTCACCACCTCAGAAAGTGAAGTTTTACTCTTTTGTGACTGTCAAACTCGTGTCTGTGGTTTCTTCAAAATGTGCAGTTCGAGCTCTGAATGCCTGCTGTTCCCAACAGATTGTCAGAAAAGAGAAGCAAAAGAAAAGAAAAATGAGAATAGTTGGTCAGCACTTTTGATCCAGCTGCCAGTTGCTCTTGGTTCTCAGCGATTAAGTAAAGATTTAGAACAGCTTTTCTTCTCCTTACTGTTTGCCTTCAAATGGAGCACCCTTCAAAAAGGTGACCCCTGCCATATTGTTCTCTTGAATTATGTTAACAAAAGCAATACTTTATTTAGCTTTAAAATCAGGCTTCCAAAGTTAAAATAAATTTTCCAGGAATTCTGAAGGTCTCATTGAGCAAATATAGTTGACCAGATAATACCAACCTGCGAGCTCAAATCTTGCTCCAAGTATGACCCAAGGAGAGAACGTTGTAGATTCATTTTTAAGTAAATATGCAGGCCTATTCTTGATGTGAAAAGAAGTGCTACGCATTTGGGTTTGTGCATGGGAAGATAAATTTGGGTAGAAACCTGGAAAACTGTGATCTTGTAAGCCACACACTAAGTCTTTGGCACTTGAAGTGCCACATTAACCCTCTGTTCACTAGCAACAGTGGTGCAAGAATTGCCCTTTTCTTGGAAAT